CTAACACCCCACCTCCCATCACCCCTCCTCCCTCAAACCCAAAGGCTGTGTCCAAGACCTTTCGCGGTGGTCAGCATTTTGTGGTGCGCCTGCAGCTGGCTGAGCCCTCAGCCGGGAGCGTGGAGCCGCTGCTGGCACTCAAGGACGCCGCATCACAGCCTGCAGGCGCCAGCCACCTGCTGGCCGCCGCAGCTGACAGCCGCTCTGACAGCGAGCACGAGGACGGGGGCGGCGGTCGTGGTGGCAGCGTTGATCCTGGAGAAGAGAGGGGTGCGGTGGTGGGGGGCAAGAGCGTCAAGTGCGGCGAGGGTTTGGGGCCTAAGGGGGCCCGCAAGGGGGCGGCTCTGGATGAGGATGACGAGGACTCAGTCAGTCGCAGTGACGGCGGAAGCGACGAAGAGCAGCAGGACAGCCCACATGAGCGGGAGGACCCCAGGTGCGCGTTGGATCATGTATGCAAATTGCTGTTTGTAAGCTGCTGCTGCTGCTGCTGCTGCTGCTGCTGCTGCTGCTGCTGCTGCTGCTGCTGCCGCCGCTGCTGCCGCTGCTGCTGCTGCTGCTGCCGCCGCTGCTGCTGCTGCCGCTGCTGCTGCTGCTGCCGCTGCTGCTGCTGCTGCTGCTGCTGCCGCTGCTGCTACTATCTGAAAGAGGGGTGCCCACACAGTCACGCCGTGGTGGTCGCTACGTATCCTTGCTGCTGATGGCACATCAGCAGCATCCATATTATAAAAGTCCATCCTTTCCCCACCGGTGCACTCCCTATCAGACACCCACACTCATTATTGCCAAACTGAAACCTCACCAGGATGCGTGTGGCTCAGTGGGTGAGGCAGTCTGACGCAGGCCAGCCCGCGGACGAGGAGCAGGATGAGAAGGACAAGAAGCGGATGGACGGACGCAGGGGCCGTCATGGCGGCGGTGGCGTTGGCGGCGGTGGCAGCGGCGGCGGGTCTGATGGCGGAGACAGCCTCACGCACGACCCCGCTGTGGCTGGCGGCAATGGTATCAATGCGTGCGCGGCGTCGGTCGGCGATGCGTCTGTGAGCCAGGCATCCGGGTCAGGTGACGGAGTGGGCAGTGCCGCGGGGGACGGCCAGGCTGAAGAGGAGCTGGCAGCAGACTTCAGGTAACAGGGCCCGCTGCAGATTATAATGCGCACATGGGGCAGAACAGGGCCGGGCAGAACCAGGGTGGCGCACTCCCTGGATGGCACTCCGCTTGCGCAAGGCCTTGTGGCTCCCACCACCAATGACTCCGTGCTCCGCCATTGACTGTGTTTTGGCGCACGCAGAGGCCACATGGAAACGTGAACATCCAAAATGCAAGATGCGCTCCCGTTGGATTTCAAACCTCCTCCAAGCCCATCACCCAGCACTACCCCCTGACACACGCAACATCCCTCATCGACCCCGCCCCCCGACACATGTGCGCGCCCAACCCCAAGGCGAGCCAAGCGCCTGAAGAAGCTGAACCGCATGATGACGTCCAGTGCGGCGCAGTCCTCCACGCTTCGCTTTAAGCAGCAGACGTGGTTGTGCCTCGGCGTCATCCTGGTGGCGCACGTGGTGGGCTACGCCATACTGTCCACTCAGATCCAGAAGCGCTTCGAGTGGGTGCAGGAGCCAGGGGGCGTGGAGGAGAATGGGGAGGGTGGGCAGGACAAACTGGGACATACGCTGTGGTGTAATGCAGTGGATTTGGCATTGCGTTGTCTCCTGGCGCTGGCTGCAATTGGCGGACCTGCTGCCCGTTTGGCTTGTCGGTAGCGTAGCAATGCTGACTTGCCGCCACCCCGTCAACTGCCTACAACCCTCTCCTCTCATCTCCCCCAGGAACATGCACAACACCGCCATCATAGCACGCGCCACTGACCGCTTCCAGCTGTCAGCAATGCGCGTCAACTTTGCATACAGGTGCTCCCAGCCCCAGTTTACCGGCTTTGAGGTGAGAGCGGGTCAGCTGGGGAAGTATGAATTCGGTGCAGATGGGATGGGCAAAGCAGCCCGCAGAGTCCGGAGCACTAGCGGGGTAGCAGGTGAGCCCCTTGAAGCGAGTGTTGCAGGCAGTCAGTTCGCAAAGGCCCGCTGCCACCTGGCATACCCCTTTTGCACTGGCGGCAGCAGCTCCATTGTCACTCGGCTTCCTTTCCTGCCGAGAAATCCAACCCCACCCGCTGCCCTGACCAGCATGCTCCGCTGCTGCCAGCACTCAAGCCTGACTCACCACCTAGCAGCCAGTGCCCTCCAAACCCGCTTCCTCCTTGGTTGGCTTTATAACTCCAGGTGTGCTCCCCAGCCTCCATGCAGAACACCTACAATCGCTTGCTTGCAAACCTCAACCTCCTGCGCGTGTGGCACCAGGTGGGCATACGGGCAGGGGGCCGGACGTTGGGTGTGTGCCCGGGCCGGGTTGGGGTTTTGTAATGGAAACTCCACGACCACATGCAGCAGGCGCTTGCACAAGTACATCTGGGAATGTTGATGCTTCTGCGGCTCATCCCACAGCCAATTTCAGACGAGCACTACGCAACCCCGCTGTCCCGGGCATTCCCAGGGCCTGTACCTGGGTAAGACCAAGCTGTCGACCTTTTCAGACCCGCGGCTCTATGAGTTTTGGACACACCGGTTGCTGCCGGAGCAGGTATGCGACTCCTTCTCAGTCCCCTCTGTTTGTCTTTTACACACACGCACACACACTCTCGCACACTCGCACACCCTCGCACACTCTCCACAATTGCTTACATACTTGTACATGTGCTCACACACCCGCACGTGCAATCGCGCGCGCGCGCACGCAAGCGCACGCACACACACACACACACACACACACACACACACACACACACACACACACACACGCACACGCACGCACTCGCACACATATGTACATTCATCAACGTAATACAGCGCAAATGCCACTGCACGTGCGCCAACGGCAACATTGCAGGTGTGGATGAATTCGACCTCTGACGGCAGTGCAGTTATTGTCACTCGCAACGCCACCATATGGGAGATGGGCAACACGTGAGGCGTGATTGACTCATGACGGAGTTGGGAGACGGCTCTGAGATTGAGCCATGGGCGAGTTGGGTGGGCTGGACCTGGTTTGTGCTGTGTTGCTTGTGACTGAAAGATGGCGGTCGGACCTGGTGCAGCTGCCTGCCGCTTCCTCAGGCAGCCACTTGGCATAATCCATCTGCGGTCATACCCCCCCTTCTTCCCCTTCAACATTGTCTCAAACCCGTCAACCCCCCCCCCCCTTCATCAACCATATTTGCCATCACTCACACATCATTCCAGATTCATATCTGCCGGTTATGACGTGCACTACCTGGGGCCACTCCTAGGGGCGGCCCTGGAGAATGACACTTCCTTCAACTACATGCACATCAACGGACCAGAATCCATATTCTTTGGCTACAGGTACGGTGTGCTTGACACATCCCCACACATGGGCATGGCGTTCCTGTCGCTGGCTTAGCATACGAGGAACGGTGGTTTTGCTAGCTACGTATTTGTGGGCACGCAATCGCATGTTAGCCCTGATCGGTTCACCACGTATCAAACCAAGTAAAACCCTGGACCAGACCCAGACCGGATCCCAACCAAGCGCCTCCTCGTCCCCTTTTTCACCCCCGACGACCCCGCCGCTCCTGTGCAGCTGGAGCCTTGACCTGCAGGTGGACTTCTCCTTCGTATCACTGAGCCACCTCAGCAGATGGCTCATAGTGCTGCTGGTCGTGGAGGCTCTGTGCCTGCAGGTGTGTGCATACGCGCAAGGCGTGAGTCAGGTCTGGGAAGGATAGGGGCAGGTGAGGGATTGGGGGGAGCATGCGGAGAGGGCCACTTAAATGGCCCCTAGCATGATGCTGCGCCGAGGGCTCCTGGAGCCCCGCCAGGTGCGCAGCCAGGGGTGGCAACTGTCCTGTGGGCCCACCTCCCTGACCTGCGGCCAACCCGTGCGGTCGCCTCGCTCGGCCCCCTGTCATTTGCGTTGTGCAGACAGTGCTCCTGTTGTTTCGCTCAACGCCAACGCTTGCACCCCGCACCCGTAGACTGCCTGCTTGGCGTACCAGTTCTTCCTGGTACGTACAGTCAATGCACAGCACATGAGGCGCTTCAGCGTCTTCCTGGCCCTGCCCTCTGCCACCATACGCATCATGGCCAGCCGAAAGATAGCGGTGAGTGGGGCCGATGAGGACTTAGGACGCGGGGGCTGAACCTTCACAGCTGAACCTTTCAAGCCAGCAAGCCCTGGGTGTGCTCGCTCACAAAGAGGTGGTAGGGTACCGCCCTTGGTGTGTATGCCTTGGATTCTTTGCCAAGGCTAGAGTATCCAGAATGTCCCAGGTACAAACGCAAACGCTCCTGCATGCAGGGTCAGCAGGTCAGCAGGCAACCTCAACGACGACTCCCCATCCATCCATGTATTCAAAGGTTGATGATGACACCAATGAGGAGGGGGACGACGATGACGATTTGGAGGCACTGGCGGCCCAGGGGCAGAATCGAGCCGGCGACAAAACCACCACGGACGGCGCCAACCCAGGCAGCAAGGCAGCATCGAAAAGCGTGCGGCTGGCGGCTGATGATGACGGTGAGCGTTCTGGTAGGTAGATAGGACGCCAATAGCTTCGGAGGAGGCTGCCGCAGCCTCCTCCGAGGGCGTTGTCAGGTATGCGGTTGTCACTGGGGCAAACGGGGTTGCGGAGTCAGTTGCAGCGATGGGCTGGGCTAGGCTGGATGCAACTCATGGAAGCCTCCACTTTTGTCCCAGCCGACCCATGTCCCCCCCTTCACCACCAAAGAGGATGATGAAGATGGTGGTAGCCCCAAGAAAGGCAAAAGCAAGCCTGGTGGTAAGAAACACTCTGCCAGTGGTGCTGCTGCAGCGGCGGCTGCAGAGACCGAGAAGAACAAAAAGAAGCCCAAGAGCCTGGGACAGCGCATCCACCAGGCGTTGTTTGGCTGGATGGACACAGTCATCAAGGTCAGGGGGGACCCGGGCCTGACACAGGTCCAAGCGTAGTCAACAGGGTTGCGTGTGCAGCACAGCGCACCTCTTTTTGCAACACGTGCATCTTTTAATGTCCATAATGCTGGCCGCAATGCAAGCATTCAGAACGTCGACGGATTTAAAGGTACACTCGCATGCCGCTCTTCCTTGCTTGCTGCCTCCCCCGCCCGCCGTCTCCATCCTCGCAGCTCAACGGCAAGAAGCTTGTCCCCAACAACTCGGTGATCTTCAAATTCATGCTGCCACTTGCGGCGTGGGCGGTGGCAGTCATCGTGGTGTTTGGGGTGACTTTCCAGAGGCTCGCGGGCCTGCAGGCACCACTGGCGTCGCTCAACGCGGCGGCGCGCGTCACCTACCTCATCAGCCGCATCCGCGTAACGGTGCGGGCCACAGCTGGGGGGTGGGAAGAGAGTTGGCACTATAGCAGGCATCAGGTCGGGGCTACGGCCTTGCCTCATTACACAGCTGGTGATCAGGCAGCAGGACACTGTTGTTGTGTGGTGCAGAGCTCCCGCAACCCGCTGCGCCCCGGCCCCTAGCCCCCTAACAAACGGAACAGCCGACCACTTGAATCCACCAGCCAACCCACCCCCCTTTCAGGGCAACTACATGGCGTTCACCAACAACATCAGCGAGCATCACCTGATCCAGGAAACCCTGCTGATGATGATCACAGACCTGAGAGAAGAGTGAGCGGAGGTGCCCCGCGCCACCGCATGCCGCTGCACAGACCAGCACCGTGTGGGCCCTGGAGCTATACAAACCCCATGCCAGCCATTCTGCATCCCCTTCCACGCAATCACCACCATCAGGTACGCTCTTCTCATGTATGGCGGCAAAATACACCACAGTGAGCACGCCGCTGGCTGCCGCAAATGCAGGGCGCAGCGTGGCAGAATGGGGCCGTGTCCCTGTGAGCCAGCCGCGGCTGCCAGACAGAGCCATGCACCCCAACTGGCAGCTCCCTTTCACCCTGCACACGTCGCCGTGAAACACTCACCCATTTACCCAATGCCAGTATTCCTGCGGCCTGCCTGCCGATTGTTCACTCACCCACAACCCTACACTCCCCTTCTTTCACTCAGTCGCGGAGGACAGCACTTACGCCCTCGAGCTCCCCGCTGCCGCATTTGCCAGTGCTGACATCGCTCATCTATTCTTCAGGTAGGAGGACGGGGAAGGTGGGATGCTGCAGATGGCTGCAGGGCTGCGGCTTCCAATGGGTCTGAGGGCAATTAGGACATCATGCAGGTCAGATGAAGTGTTATACAAGCATGCGCACCCCGCCATTTGTGCCTCGGGTGTGCATTCAGTACATTGTGAAGATCATCTGCTCTCCCTCTCTCACACACACACACACACACACACACACACACACACATGCACACGCATACGCACACGCACACGCACACATGCAAACATGCGTACATGTGTGCATGCACACGCACAAGTGCAGGCATTCACACTGCAAGCGTGTGCGCGTGCGCGCACACACACACACACACACACACACACACATCTGAGCTGTGTATAATGACATATTTGACATGTGTACACACACATACACACATACACACACACACACACACACACAAACACACAAACATAATCACCTGCGCTCCCGTGCTTCAATCAAGGACCAACGAATGTCTGCGCAACGACAAGAGCACGTGCTTCAAGCCAGACAGCCCGTTCTACCAGATCACACACAATGGCCTGGACGCAATGCTGGACCGCTACGCGGACACTTACGAGGCCTTCGCCAACCTGCCAGCTGAACTGGCCTTTGCCAATCACACTCTGTGCGAGGGCGAGCGTGGAGAGCGGGTTGTGGTCAGGGGGCTGAAGCAGGGAGGGCGACGGAGTGACTCAAGAGCATGTTGGATGTTGCCATATGGTTGGAAAGGTTGAACCCTTGTGTGGAGGAGCTGGCATGGGTGTGGGCATGGCTCACACCTTGGATTGAACGGAAATGCCTGATACTCCAAGGGTCCCAGCCCATGAGAAAATGCTGCCATCCCAGCTCTTTGGCGGTGGCACCATGCACCTGCTCCCTTTGACGCCCCTCTCTTCCGTATGCCGACCCCTCTGCCCCTCTGACCTCAAGGTATATCTGGCTCAATACTGTCGGACCCAATGACATGATAGAAGGGTGCGATCCCAGCAAGGGGTGAAAGGGGCTGCTGCAGCCAGGCTGGGGCCGACGTGGGACGGCGCTGGGCAATCGCTCTGTACACAATGCGAACTTGCGCCACCGGTACCACAACACCCATCGTCGTGATGAGCTGCATTAACGCTCGCTGTACTTCAGGCCTGCAACCGCTCAGCTTCTAGCTCCGAGTTCACGTTCACGTTCGATGGGTCCGCGCCCTTCTAAACCGGATGTGCCATCAAATACCTTCCACCACCTCACTTCGCCTAATTCAACGTGCACCGACCCACCGCCGCTTCCGCCCTCACAGAATTTACCGCGCAGTGGAACTCTTTGAGAGTGAGGGTCCACATCATGTTTGGGGTTGGGAGGCCGGCACAAGATTGCCAGGGGGTTGTGCTCGCCGTGGAATCAAACACTCCACCTGCGGCCTCGACGGGACAGTGCTTTGCTCATAACGCAGGACCAAGGCGTGCTGCTGAACCTTGCTTGCCATGGCTGTCTCACCACCCATCTTACGGGCTAGTGGGGTGCCTGCCGCGCTCTGCTCGTCAGGGCTGGACATGCACCCCCGTGCCATCAGGCTCACCTCCGCACACCGTACCTTCACCTCCCGGCGTCCCCTCCCCCCTCGCAACACAGCTTACACGATCAACAAGTTTGAGGGTGTGAGCAAGCTGCACCAGATCATGCTGGTGGTCACCATGTTTGTAGTGCTGGGCTTCATGATGCTGCTCTACAGGTGAGCTGGTGGTTTTCAGGGGTGTGATTGCGAGCGTGATTGTGGATGGGGCCGGGACGGTCGTCGCAGAGAAGGGGGCGGGAAAGGTGTTGCGGCGCAGGGGATGGGGTGTGCACAGCACCTGATTTGCCATCGCATGGCAGCGCGTACAGCCCTGAGGAGTGCTGGCAGTATGCCCTCTGCAGGTCCGTCACTATCCCTCTGCACCCGTCCACCCACCCAC